AAACAAACAGTTGTCACTTGTTCAAAACAAAAAAGGAAAAAGTAAATTTCTAGAGTATTTTAAGGATAAACTCAAACTAGTTAAGAGGATATATAATTATAGAGAATAACTTGTGGTCTGTCACAATATTTACCTACGATGACACTTACCAATAAGATGATAGATAAACAAGAATGACTCCATACTTTCATTTGTTTCTTCAATCGTCAACTAAACCCACTTCTTTTAAGAATTTAAATACTATTTACTTTTAAGGTAGAAAGGTATGTCCCCAATTCTCTTTTGAATTTAAACTCAGTTATTTTTTCTAATCTGTCGAGGCAGTTTTTTTTTTTATTAACCAAAGCAAACTAGTGCCAGCCCAGAGTCTTTGTACCCCTTCCCTATTATAAAATGTTGCTAAGGGCATATAAGGTTATTTGTTAAAATTGGTAATTGCTTGTGTTACCAAACTGAAAGGGGGGAAGAAAAGGTAGAGATGAAGAAAAAATGTTGAGAGTTTTTTTTTTCATAATGAGTACCGTAACAGGGTAGTCACTAGTCAGATGTCAAACTATTGTAAAAAGTAAAGTTGTTTTTCACAAAGATGATTTAATTAAACATGTAAAATGAATGATGTTTTTATGACCATGTTAAATACATAAGAGGTCAAAGGTGATAAAAGGTGCTGTCACCTATTGAAAAGTCTATAGAATGTTAAATAAGCTCCGACATTCCAATCCCTTTTTCAACAGGTTTTCTTTTTATTTAATATGCATTAGTAGATTTTAAGAAGGAAAAAATGTAGTTAAAGCAAACTTACTTGTCATGCAAATAGAAATTTAATTTCAAAAGTTTATATGTGTGTATATACATGTATATATATACATACATGTATATGAATTGAGTAACTTAAACAGTTAGGGCAAGACCTACTGTCATTTTTTTTACACATATGTGGTTATATATATATTGCTGTCCATCGTCCATAATTTCTTGTGAATAATCTACAGGCAACATTTAGCAATCAATCGTTTCAAAATTCATATTATTATTTAATGCTTCAAATCAATTATTGTCCTTGCTCACCTTCCAGAATCTTGTAAACATTTGAATAACAAAAGTTATCATCCAATTTCCTTGAAATTTATATCCATTGTTCAGACTAATGAAACAAAGAATTCTCTTACAACAGTTCTGGAGATTGGATAACCTGCTCAGTAGTGAACTCAGAGGACATAGTCCACTGCGGAACCAGATTGCTATTTCTATTTGGATTTAGTGAAAATGTATAAAACACTTACTCCAAACCCTTTCCTCCCCAAAAACAAAAATAATATAATGTAGCTTACAACTAAGAGTGAGAGTCCTAATAAATGACAAAAATTACTGGCAATGGATGTGGGGCGCGGCGGAGGATCTCATCACTCCATATGTTTATGGATTTATAGATATACAGCAGATCGTGTTAAATGTAACAGGACTTTTTTTTAACAATATGGACTTATATTTTATTTTGAATACAAAACTACTGTTAGCTGTATGATAATACCTTACCCTATACATGACACCTGTCACATTTTATTGCCAGTTTAGACATGGACAGCTAAACCTATGGTTACTTACTAAAAGGTAACTTTGAGGCGAAGGCCACCAGCCAAGTTAGAATGATTTCTAAAACCAGCAAAAACATCACTAAAAAAGATTGTGTTCAGATTATAAAGTACCGGTAGTGTATTATTTTTGAAGTGATATGATAAAATAAATCTGTAATGACAGAAGATGTATAGCGGTCAGATAAACAGATATCTCTACAACAGTCAATAGTTTGATCACAGAAAACACTTCATCTTGTCAATACTACAACTTCATATTGACCCTTTGAGGGGGCAGCAAGCTACAGGGGGGATATGCTTCTTCTAAATATGACTTGGACAACAATGGCTTATGGATATTGTTAAGACTTGTGTTTATTTACATAAGTAATAGTTGGATTAGAGGTTCAATGACATTATTGTCTTCTTAAGAAGGTAATTGAACAATCTGGATAAAAAAAGAGTCTTGGGGGTGTATGAACAGGTTGTCTCTAAGACCTTACAAAATATTTACTAAACATTTGAGCTAGAAATAGCTTAATAATAGACTCATATTTCATGATTCAGGTGGTATCCACAATTGACTTTACCCTCTTGGATGGTTAGAATCAAATACAATCTCATGTATTTTGCTAAAAGTTGAAAATTCAGGGACTTGATTTTCCTGTGAAATTGTTGTTTATCATGTTGATTTTGCACTTTTGATCTGTTCATAATTCAAAGATATTTGATGGAACTTAGATTGGAATTTCATTTTAAAATATTAGAAATTGAAATAATAATAAGTTTCAAAGTTATCTGAATAACCTATTTTAGATGGTTTACAGGCGACAAAGATTCCATTTTACAAGAAAATTGTGTATACATTTGATCGACTTCCATAATCATCACTTCTGAAGTTTTTAGATTAATATTTTAACATGTACAAAGTTTCAATGTTCTGCGATAAAACTATTTTTGATTAGCAGAATTGTTCAGATTAAACTATAGTTATTTGTGACTGTTAATTTTAGATTCAACTTTTTAATGATGATTGATACTCTCATCTTTATCAAGCAAATGATTGCTTAATAAAGACGAGACTCTACGGTGTATGTTAATAAACCAGTAATAGTTATTCCTTAAATAGTTTTTAGTGTGTTACTGTTAAATTACTAAATGCCAGTCAAAGAAGATTCAACTTTTTGTTAGTTACCTAAAAAATAGACCTGACTTACTTTTTAATTTGTCAAAAAACCATTAAGCTTTTACAAATATAAATCTCCTATTGATGAAGGTACTCTCTTGATCGTGACAGCCAGTTTCTATTGCAGTCATTACCCTTTTTATGATTTTTATCCAAATATTATTCATTTGAAGGTCAATGTATCAGTTTCAATTTGGTAAGAATGGTGTTTTTGTTAAGAAAACTTCCATTTTATTTGCTCAGGTTTAAATGGCTTAATGTAAGCAAACATGTTTTGCTAGCAGACAGTGAGTAAAATTGAACTATTGAAACGTGGAATCCACTTCGCTTGCACAAACACAGGTTTGTGGGAAAAGTAGAATTTAGTATAGTAGTATTTGAATGATTTCTATAAAGTGATTGGCAGATGGGTACATGCTCTATGATGTCATCAAAGACATTGAAACTGATAGGTGTATCTGATAAGTTCTATATTCAAGGTAGATGTAACAGAGATTGAGTCAATATTATTTCACAAAATTAGCCATCAGAAGAAATGACAGTCTACCATAATAGATACAGGGTCAAAATAACATCAGGTGTTATGATGTGATAGTAGAGCGTTTAAGTAGACAGTATTGTAACATTTTTTGTGGATACTTAAAGACAAATCCATATTTTTTTTTTACCTGAGATAGAGTTTGCACTGAGATCGACACTACTGCCTACTCTTATATCTATTTTCAACTGTCAGTGGAACTTTTAATGTGCTGCCAGTGGTATACAGGGGACCTCGGTATTTTGTCCCATTGGACAGACTAGACACCTTGTCAGCCCCTCCTTCGTGTACCAGTGACAAAAGGTAAACCAGCTGTGATTCAAGGAACTTTCTAAGCCTACACCGGGATCAAATCCAGGACCTAGTTAATGAGTCAGTGTTATATACTGAGCCTCAATGGATCCATCGTTGAAACAAAAAATTTATTCACTTATAGGCTGTCAATTACTTACAATTTGTTTTGACCTAAATCAAAGTTTAAAGGAGCTAAATATTTGGGACCTAGAAATTGAAACAAATGGGTCGCAACTCGCAACACATATAATAATGTAATATGAATGTATATAAACTGATTTACATTCAATCGTTTCTTTTGTTACTGTAATTTCTAATCAGTTATGTTCGGAAAAATACATTAGAAGTCTCATTCGAATGGCAATCTCTATCGTCTGGTTATTCCAGTCTACACCGATAGTGTTTATTGTGCATGCTCTCCTGAAAAGAATATGACATCATTGTTAGACATGACTTGTGGAATATGTCTAGCCTCATTCTTTGAGTTCCTTGTTACAAATGGCGCTGAAATGCGTTATGGTACACGATTTTGTCCTAAATATTGGATATCAGTGGATAATATTGAGTTAGAGACTTAGCTACTGTAACCAGCTTAGGTTATTATTACTGTTGACAGTTCATCATACAGGGTTCTTCTTATTCAAAATTATAACACTTGATCCAGTTAATTATAGAACTTTATATTGATACAGTATATAACAATCATAACAGACAATATTCAGAATGTTATAATAACTACAGACTTATGTTCAACTAAAGAAGTATAAAATCAAGAATTTACATAAGTGTAACCTATTATCTGTACCTGTATTTCTAATCTAATTGCCCTTCTTGGGCTCATATTTATATTCTTGAAGATGTAACCCCTACATACCTATATTACAATTAACATAAACACAACAATTTAGACATAAATTAAAATATTAAAAGAATACAAAGAAGATTATAGAAATAGAAAATAGGCTTATAATATTAAATATATATTTGTATTAAAATATTACCATTAAGACACATTATTCTATTCAGTATCATTTTTATTAGACTACTAGTTAAGAGGTCTATGCTCTAAGATGTCATATCAATGTAAAGGTAACCCATAATTAATTCAACCCTAGAAAGGTAATTATCAACCCTAAAAGGTAATAATTATAAGTTCTTGATAGACTGTGGTGACACTACTCTAAGCACCTTGAAGTTTGGAGGAGGAACAAAAAAGAGATATATGAAAGAAACACAGTACTTGGTTTTAATTTGAGGACCCACTGCACACAGCCCACACATTTACATATATATAAATCAGACATATATTGTATATAGAAATATAATATATTACCTTGGTACCTAACTTGTTTCCAGCTTATGAAATTTTATTTAAATAGACGTAAAATAAATTATTTTCTACTTGTAGATTGGACCTGTATCTAATGCTGTGATAGTTGTAGCCTATTCCTGGGGTGATCCAGCACATGTTCATTTCCTCAACTCAGAAAAATGTCATCGATATTGGTCTCAATGGTTAGAAAGACTGGATTTGTACTGGAGAACTCTTGATGCTCCTGCTCCCGAATAACAAAGTTTAGAATATTCTAGCCACATTGTGTTCATAAACAGATTCTATTTATTGACAATAGGATTGCATGTTTTCTGGACCAAACTGCTCAACCTCAAATTTGTTATCCTAGAATGTTTTTGTGTGTAAAAATACCAAAATAAGATGTATGTATCTAATACCAATCTTTTGATTAATTTTTACTATCATGATAGCAGGTCCAATTGATAAAATAAAGATGGATTTTCCAATGCTCAGAGAGTTGATTTTCAGTTGCAGAACTGAATGTTTTGATGAGTTCCACATTCTTATCTCCATGAAAGTGTTATCTATCCATAAGTAATCCAGTATACTTTGATAGCACTAGGATAAAGTTCAGATGCAAAGGGAGATAATCTCAACCTGTTTCCCAAAAACCAGTGTCCATTATTAATAAACCTGTCCCTTTAAGTTGTATGGTGATGAATGTGTTAAAAATGTTCACATTAATTGAAATAAGTATTAAAATGTAAAAGTGCTCCACCCAGGTTATTAAATATTATAAATAACCACATTATAATTCAATTTCTCCTTAAATAAATATTGATAATACAGGTGAGATGGAATGATTCATTGTAAACATGCATTTAAAATTTTATGTCAACTTATTTGCATTTGTGTAATATTTACCATTTTTTGTATTTCACATTAAAATTTGCATTTATAAGCTTTATATAACCTATATTAGTGGATTTTACGGCATATAAGGATATCATTACTGGTAATTTGATTTACGTTGTGTCACTAATGATTAAAGTAATGTCAGTATATAAGATATAAGGTAAAACGAGCATGTAAATTGTGTTTTTTATGTATGGCAGGTGTTAGAACAAGACCAGTTTGTATCTCATTACTTTCTACATATACTTGAGAAAACTAGCATTTACTTCTATTTACCACTTAACATTTCATACTATAAATAAAATACTTTTTAATGACTTTGTTTATAAGATTATGTTTTTGACCGTTTGTTATTGAAAAAAAAAAATTACATAAGAGCAATCATTTTTGTGTTGGTTTGTATAATGATGATAACCAGGGAGTAAAGAAATAATTTAATAGGACAAGGTGAATGTAAACGTTGAAAAATTCTCCAATGTCAAATGAGAATGGGCAAGTAATTCAATAAACCAATTGGATGAAGGGTAAGCATATTCTTCCCCACACACCACATGTCAAGAATATTAGATGTTGGCAAAATAGATCTAGATCTAGAATAAAAGATGTTTCTGAGTATGCATATTCTACATAGATCCTAAGGGGTAACAAATTTAACAATCCATTAAATAATTCTGGAAAATTTAGACAACTGTCTGGAATTTCCCAAAAATATAATCGATAGAAGAGTATTATCAGGTTATCAAGGATGACACTCTTAAGATTGCAAATTGTGAATTACCATGAATGTCCAGCATCTAAATCATGTCACACTCATAATCAGCTGAAATACTTCATTTATATCCAAATAATATCCACTGTTCTGGCCATGCGGTGCACACACCTATCAAACATTGAAATTCATCCAGCAATTTTAGGGAAAATTTGTCACTTTAAAATATGCCCCTGTCCTTCCCCTATGGATCAAAGCAAATTTATTTGAATCAGTCTAATGAAGCAAATACCATCTGACCAACCTACCAATGAAATTTTGTTGAATTTTGTTAATTGACTCAAGTGAAATGTCCTGCCACAGCCAAATTGGGCTTATCATGCAATCAAATCTGAATAAACACCCCAAAAGTAACATACCTCCCAAATTTGTTTGAAATCCATTAAAACTTTTGAGAGCATATCTTGAAGATAATGTCTAAAAATGTTCCTTCATGGGGTCATGCAGGCTATACTGTCAGAAGAAATACAAAAATTGGACGGCAGTGCCGCAAAATTGGTGGCCATATCAAGTACCAGTCACTTGCCTAAAATATACTAATATATTCTTTTTAAATTGACTCAAATGGGATTCAACGCATATAATAATGTATTATGAATGTATATAAACTGATTTACATTCAATCGTTTCTATTTTTACTGTTATTTCTAAACAGTTATGTTCCGCGAAATACCCAGAAGTCTTAATCCAATGGCTATATCTGGCGTCTGGTTATTCCAGTCTACACCGATAGTATTTATTGCGCATGCTCTCCAGATCAGAATATGGAGTTACCATTTGACATGACTTGTGGAATATGTCTAGCTTCGTTCTTCGAGTCCCTTGTTACAAATGGCGCTGAAACACATTATGGTACACAATTCGTGTACCAATGGTAAAATGTTTATTTTGTCTTAAATATTGGATATCAGAAGCCCATCTTTTCCCAGTAAGATCACAACATCAATGTTGATTTAAATTGACAAATAATTCATGTTTTCAATGTCGATGACTTTGAATGATATTGAGTTAGAGACTAAGAAAGTCAAAACATAATTATTTCTATGTCTTTTGCTCAATAGGTTGTCAACGCACTATTATACAATCATAGGTTATCTTTCTCACACTTAAAAATCTTCACACCGGAAATAACACAATTACCCCCCTTGTTTTCCTATTCCCCACCATGGAATAGCTATCTTCAAACGTTTGAATTTGAAGTTGAAAATGATATTTTTGCCAATTTCTCAACTGGCAATAGTGAATTATAGGATTAATAGGACTATTCTTTAACAAGGTAGGACTGTTTATAGATACCATCTATTTTAGGGCTTTATTTTAATACATTTTAAAAATATAACTTTAAAATATGAAATTGTAACTTTAAACATTTTTGTTGGGTGTTTTCTGGACACAAATTCCTTTTCAGTCAACAGCGTCTTCAGGAATATAGCCACTGTTATGTTCCTTTTACCTTTAACCGATTTGTGGAATGTAGGTAATGTGTAGACTTTACTTATACAATATGTTTATAGTAAAATACATGTAGAAACTATTTGACATTATTACCCTTACTTTACACCTCTTATTTTCCCCCAGCGTTTATATTGTCAATATTATGCCATAGTCATGTAGCTTTTCACACTGACACTGACACTAATGATACTTCAGTGTATTTTTATAGGTCTCCTATCATGGACAAGGCTGTTTAAATGCTATGTATTTTGTCATGTGATACCACTGAATGCCTACGTGTGGAAATTTAACGTGCCAAATTGCCATGTTCAGATGGGAAAGTTTTTTTTTTGACGATGTTTGACAAATTGCTGCCAATTATGAACTGTCATTATGAAAGGTCATATTGGACAGCTATTTTTGTCATGCTGACGTATGTCTGTATGTTTGTTGATATATGAAGATACTAACCATTACATCAACAATATTGGAGATAAAATGGGGTTTAACATCTTACTTTTCTGCACCAACAGGGCTAATGAATAATAGCCGGAAATTCATGATATTTAAGTACGATTATCGAAAATAGGCAAGTCTATGTCCAAAACAAAACTGACCAAGAGATTATCTAATAGGTACCCCGTTCTATTGGCATTTTTGAGGAATATGGTTTCACTACAATAGGAACAGCACAGGGCTTAACATTGAATATTATATATGAACGTTTGATTTGAAGTCAATGTGATTGGAAAGTAATTGAAATTGCGTGTTTTAGACTGCAATTAATTACATTTCCATTACCTTTGAAATATTACTGGGTTTCTGAGTAATAAAACAAAAATCCACAATTGATATGCTTAGAACATCGCGTTTCCCTCAATTTTTAAAAGAGACATAGCGCATTCGGAGTCTTCGCAGGTTGTAAACTCTCAAACAACCCCTAATCAATAACATTAGGTATATGTGAATTAGATCAACCATTTACATCAACCATGCACGTATTCCAATACATACGGGGAAGTGTTTTGGAAACTTCACTAGATCATTTACTCAGCTAAGATGGTGTTTACAATTATACACGAGTTAATCCGGATTACAATTAGATTTGGATTAAAATAATGGTGTTGATTTGGCTATATTTTATATGCTGATTTGAGATGAAAACCTTTTGTTAAAGAATAGATCAGGATCATTATTGATTCACTGAATTTAAGCATAGTTTAAATGTTCAAAAATAATTATGCACCTCTATGATTATCTATATTGATGGTTTGTCCAATAATATTGTTATGTACAAGATAACATTTAAAAACGTGTTTTTCTATGGTTTCAAAAGAAAACCTGAATGGACATGGTTTAGTTAAGAATACAAGTTAGTTTCAACATTAATAAATAGAATTAATAATAGCAGTTGAAATGATATGTATATTCAAGCTCGGGCAAGTTTTCTCGTTGGGGGTAACACAAATAATCCGATTAAAGTACATGTGACAGCATACTATTTGAATGCAATTGAAAAGGCTATAAATTTCAAGCATCATATGACAAGGATGTAGAGGTACATGTAAATAAATTGTTATCCTTAAATCCCTCACTTCATTCATATGGCGACATATTACAGTTTCTAATCATTTTAACTAGATTCTGAACACATTTAGCTGATGACCCGAGACGTCCTGTCGCAGTTTATCCCATCTAAACGTTTAACCTGTGTTAAACGGCGGCACTATAACCTTTAAGACGCCCCACAACCTTATGTTAATAGATTATAAAGAATACATTATGTCATTCTGGAATGTTTGAATAATGATCGGGGTTTCAGCTTTTAGAAGTAAAAAGAAATATAGTTTGCAATACCTTCATTCACAAATTGTTTATTTTGGCAAATATTTCTGACTGTGGCGAAACAATAGTACAAATTTCCTTTCCTGCATTGCCGCCTTAAAAAGATCGTGTATTTCTTGGCCAAATATTAATGCAATACAGGTTTTCTTTATAAAAGCATCCATTCATGTTCTTTCAACAATCCATTCAATCATATATTCAATTCAAAAAGCCAAGGGTTAAAACATCGTTGACGTCAGTGTGGTGCCAACAGAATCAGACACAATTTGTTTAAATGAAAATGTCAAACACAAGACTATTTTTTTTTTTAATACAATCTCTTCTTGATTGTGTAGGAGTCCTCATTCAACCTGTATCCTACTTAACATCACCAGGGTGGAGCAGCATAAGTGTACGGTGTCGGCTTTCCATCTCGTAGATTCCTTGCCATGCAATTGTTGACCGCTTTTCATCACCTCCCCCACTCACCTCTACCTGCCGAGCGTCAGAATCGTTTGAACGGAGCCTGGAATTCTAGCTATGTTTTGTATCTATTCAATCAAATCAAAGGTCACTTTCTTTTTTTTCTTGACTTGTGTTATGTTTGCAAATGTCGTATTTTGGCTGTTCGTATAGATTAGATTTCTTCCAACGTTTAACTGATAGACAATAAATGCTTGGGTCAATAGATCATTACATACCTGCGTGGCATCATTTATTTTCCAAACTTAAAGACACAGCACCCCAAAAACATGTACATATATATTACTAATAGATTGTATATACAGTAGTAGCTAGGCATCTGTCTAGGTTGGGTTGGGTAATGCTAACATCATTTTGTATTGGGCGTTATTGAATCTCGAATAACTTACAATTTGGCATAGATTCTATCCTTTATCTCGAAATCAACAGAATGCTATGGCTAACGAATCGTACAAAATTAGTGGTTCATCTTAAAATCTCCGTATTCCATTTCCCTGTTTGTTTAGTCGTATAATTCAGTCATTTATTTTGTTCAATAAGAATTGGATTTGATAGACGATCTTCGTTTAAGGAGCTGCGAACAAATATTTGATCAAAATGATTTATGTGTCAGCTAAGAAGAATCCATAAATCTTTCAAGAAGTCTTTAAGAATGTCAATCTGGACATGGCATAATTATGTATTGCACTAAGTGCTATTCTTTAGTGAAAGTATCATGGGATTCCTCAAAATCAGGAAAACCATTAAGCCCAATATGCAAATTGCAGTGTATATTTGATCTCTAACAGACAGTCCAGTACGACTAACTGCGCAAAAGACCAACACAGGCAACCCAAAATAAGGGGTGTAAAGCCTGCGCTTTTGATC